TGGTTAAACCTACATCGACTGAAAGTGGGATGCACTTGAATGTCAGATGTGAGACAAAAAAAGTATCACTGCACTGGACAAGTGATGATTGTTGACTGAATCAAGCTACTCACTGCATCCCACTCCTGAGCAATGATTCATTATTTTAGATGTAGGAGAGAGTGTGTTTGTGAGCGTGTGTGTATTTATGTGTGTGTGAGAGTCAATTGCATTGTAGTTCTTTCAATTGTCTTCTGTTCACCAATTTCCTTGAGGCGGTTCTATTGACAGGCAATGAGCTTGTCTTACTAAGAGACATCTCAAGAGTCCTCCATCCTTCTGCTCCATGCAGGCAGCAATATCTGTCTATACTGACAGAGAACACAATGCAAAAGCTAATTAGCATAGTGTAATTGCAATTACTATCATATGAATTCACTTTCAATATAATTAGTGAATCCCATGAAAATACCACATCACACCTTGCTGTCAGCATTCTGTTACCCGGGGAACTGTGGTAAATCTGGTCAATTTTCATGTTTGATTTGCAGGTAACACCCATTTAAATTCCCCTGACTCATCCAAAGAGCTCATATTTCCCTGGTGAGAGCCATTCATTCCCACTCCCATTTATCTCAATGGCAGTAACTTGGCCTGTGCATCCAGCATCAGTTCAGAAAACATTTACTCACAGCCATGTTGGTCCAAACTGTATGAGCTTCTTTCTACTGTGGAATACAAAATGTGAATTTTTAAAGAAGATTCTGGGAACCCCTTTCAGTATAATGAAAGTAAATGAGGACTAGGGCTGTCAAGCTGCTTGAAGGACCCAAAAGCATGGTAATAGTATCATAAAAGTGACTTGTGCTATATTCCAAGTCTTCTGAATTTATGTGATAGCATTTAACCTTTGCAACCAGATCAGTGAGTCAGAGAGTTAAACTGGATCACTCCCATTTTTAACAAATAATTCTTTCTGTTTTGTGAACTGGATCAACAAATTTACGTTGATTTGAAAAGATTCAACTTTAAAAAAAAAAAAGGTTTCAACTGCATGCTCATTACACAAAGTTATCATTTATATTCTGAAGACTTGAAATATAGTACACGAATCACAAGATATACTTTAAATGATATTACCTTTTCTGGTTCTTTATTGTCATTTTGGCGATTGACAACTCCATCACTTTCATTACTCGTGAAATTTTCCAGAATCTTCTTTAAAAAATTATCATTTGTGTTCCACAAATATATACACAGTGGGTATAGAAAATAATCACCCGTCTTTAAAAGAATCACATTTGGTTGCTTTGCAGCCTGAAATGAAGATGGACAGTTTTTGTTTTATCCAGCTGTATTTACTACTATAACATACTATAACATCCAAGTGAAAGATATAACACCAACCTATCAGAAAAAAAAAAAAAATAGAGTTGGAAAAAGGATCACCCCCCTCCTAAAAATGACTTGTAAACTCGATCAGGTGTTGCTAATCACCTTCTTAGTGGCACACAAAGCCATTTGACTTTCAACTGTGATCAGCTGTGGTCATTATGATTAGCTCAGCATGAAAAGAGCTTTCCTGGAGCATTTCAGTCCTTGGTAGTGCAACTGAAGCAAACAATCATCTATGGGTGGCATGGCATTGTCAAAAGATCTCTGGGATAAAGTGGTGGACAGGCACAAGTCAGGAGATGGATACAAAAAAAATTCATAGGCTTTATCAATGATCAATGCCTAGAAGCACAGTGAAGTCTATTATTAAGAAGTGGAAGGTATTTGCTATGCTACAACACAGACCCTCCCTGGATCAGGACGTTGCTCCAAACTGGATGAAAGAGCCAGGAGGAAACTGGTCAGAGAGGCGACCAAGAGGCCTACAGCAACTCTGAAGCAGTTGCAGGAATTTATGATAAAGTGACAACAATATCACAAGTTCTCCACAAATGTGGCTTGTATGGGAGCGCTGCAAGAAAAAAAGCCACTCCTCAAGAAAGGCCACATGCAGTCACGACTGAGCTTTGCCAAAACGCACCTTGAAGATTCTGAGGCAGATGAGACTAAAATTGAATTATTTGGCCTCAACAACAAATGATATGTCTGGCGGAAATCCAATACAGCTCACCATCCAAATAACACAATTCCTCCAGTAAAGCATGGAGATGGTGATACCCTGTTATGGGGTGTTTCTCTGCAGCAGGGACTGGAGCCCTTGTCAGGATAGAAGGAAAAATGGATGGAGCAAAATACCGTCAAATTCTTGATGAAAATCTACTGCCTTCTGCCAGAAAGTTTATCAATGGGAAGAAGGTTTACTTTCCAACATGACAATGACCCAAAGCACACAGCAAAACTGAGCACACAGTGGTTGAAGGAGAAAAAGGTAAATGTCCTTGCATGGCCTAGTCAGAGGCCAGACTAAAACCCCACTGAAAATCTGTGAAATGGTTTGAAGACTGCAGTCCACGAACGCTCACCATCAAATTTAACTGAACTTAAGCAGTTCTGCAGAGAAGAGTGGGCAAATATTGATGTGCAAAGTTAGCAGAGACCTATCCCATCAGACTAAAGGCTGTAATTAAAGCAAAAGGTGGTTCAACAAAATACTGACAAAAGGGGTTGATCCTTTTTCCAACTCAGTGATTCTGTTTAAAAAAAAATAAAAAATGTCTGACATGTTGGTGTTATATCTTTCACTTGGATGTTGCACTGAGTAAATACAGGATAAAACAAAAACTGTGTCTGTCTTTATTTCAGGCTGTCTTCATTTCAAGCAACAAAATGTGATTATTTTAAAGGGGGGTGATTCTTTTCTATACCCACTGTGTGTGTATATATATATATATATAAGGGGTGTAACGGTACACAAATATGACGGTTCGGTATGTACCTCGGTTTTGACGTCATGGTTCGGTATGGTTTCGGTACAGCAGGAGAAAAAACTAAACATAAAATTGCTTTTTTTAAATTTTATAAAACAGTGGTTAACTGAACAAATTGCTCTTTTTGTTAAATAAATTCAATTATTATTAAAATTTTCTTAGGGATAAAAAATCTACCTCAGCTTATGCTCTAACTATAGGAAGCCCTTTTACATTAGGCCTACTTTAAGATTACAGTTAACAACAGAGCCCAAACTTCAATTTAATTACTATTTATTTTTAAATATAATAATCAACACTCAAATTAAAAAGTTATGCAAACATGTAAATTGCACATAATTCAATTTTTTTATTAACTTCTAAATTTCTATTTTTTGTTGAAATATAATCATTTACACAGTGCTTGTCATAACTTGTTTCATAACGGATTTATTTAAAGTAAACCTACATTAAATAAGACATCACTAACAGGTAAAGTAAAAGGAGTATATAGCCTAATATTTCGCAAAATGCTCTTCTCTGCACTTCATTTTTCTAGCGAAATAACGAGCCGTGGACACTGATGAGGTAAATGAAATGCTACGTGACATTTTGTTTACAAGCTGTTCAATTGATGTCTTCCCGCGGTTGAAACACTGATTGAGCGATTACATGAGGCATGAGATGTTCATTCATGTTTATCATTCATGTTAATTCATGATCGCACTCACTCGCGTTTATACAGTGATCTGTCACGCCACATCAAAGAGCATCAAAATGGCATTTATTGTTTGAATTTCCTGAAAAAATTGACAATTTTAAAGATAAGACTTTATTTCTTGTCAAAAGTAACAATATAGTTACGCTCATGCAGTGGTTAAAACAATGCTGTATTTGTTCGGTACACATGCGTACCGAACGAAAGACCCGTACTGAAAATTTTCGGTACGAGTACGTGTACCGTTACACCCCTAATATATATACTGTATATTTATACATATATATATATATAGGCTATATATATATGTGTGTGTGTGTGTGTATGTATGAATGTGTGTGTAATATATATATATATATATATATATATATATA